TCCCCACCTGCCGACATGATCTTCGCAAGGTTGACATGCGCAGTCGCGCTTGCACTTGGAGCTGCAGCTGAGACTGACAGCCAGTGTGCGATGCAGCTTGGCACGAAGGCAGCTAGCAAGTCGAGTGCCGGCGTCTCGGTGGCCGCCAGCACCGAGATGTGGACTTTCGAGGACATCTTCGGCCACAAGGATGCGACTGCCCCCGCCTATGGCCAGGCAGAGGTGCAGGAGGCGCCTAAGCCTGCGGTCGCCTTGGCGGAGACGGATACCAAGCCCGTTGCCGCCCTTGACGCAACCGAGAAGGCTTCCGCGGCTCATGCCGCCGAGACGGCGAAGCCTGGCAACAAGGCGAAGGAGTCCAAGGCAGTGGCTCATGCCGGTGCCTCGAAAGGCAAGGGTTCGGCGAACCAGACGGACTACGTGGTGGCTATGATCGAGAGCTTTCTGAAGAAGCCCCTTCCCCCGAAGAACGTGGACGTGTCTGAGACACGGCCCCTGGTGTTCATGCATCAGCATCGGGCTGGAGGCACTACCATGCAAAAGCTGTTGTACAACACATCGCTTGCCCTGAAGATGAAGCCTCACATCCAGTGCTCCGGAAAAGTGGACTGCCGAGCATTCAAGAACACGGTCACCGATGCCGCAGTCTATGGCGGCGAGTTTTGCTGGCGGGAGATGATGACGTCGCTGTCCGGCAAGCAGGTCTCATGCTTGACTAACTTCCGCGAGCCTGTGGCCCGCATCACATCGTGCTACGCACAGCGGCTTGTCCTGAAGAAGAAGGTGGCACCTTTCTGCATGGCCAAGTTGGACCCGCAGAAGCTCAAGACCCTTCTCGTGAACTATGGCTGCGTGAACGAGCCTTTCCGCCGACTGGGCCAGTGCGGTGTGCAGACGCATGCGGATGCCAACGACAAGAAGGCGCGGATGCAGATTTGGAACAACACACTCGAGAATCTTGCTACTTGCGTGCCGGTCTTGGTCGACAAGCAGGACACCTACTCGGCCGCTGTGAAGCACTTCCCACAGTTCAAGCAGGCTTTCTGGCAGATGAAGAAGGAAAGGATGAACACGAACTCCTACCCCAAGGACTGCCAGATCCCCGGCACGCACGTGGCCGTGATCCAGGAGTTGGCAGCGCAGGAGACGCTCCTCTACGAGGCTGCGAGGAAGCGAGCTCTCGCCATCCACGCGCATGACTCGAGCTAGGCGGCAGCACTCACATTGAGTGCATGCCCATCTAGTGTGGAACTTTAGCAGAGCTGCACTTTAGCTGCAAGCAGCCAAAGTTGTTAATGCTGTCGGTGCCGATGGTGAAGCCATGCAGCACAGGCAGAAAATGCGGCCTCAAGTCCAACGCTCGCAATCTGCAAGGTCTGGATTTGGGCGCTCTTCCCGCCGCAACTCGTTTGTGCCTGCCGCAACCAAAGCGGATGGCGTAGCAGGCTTTTTGAACACGGCGGAAATGTGCCAGCGTTGCAAAACGATGCACAAGGCCTCCTAGAGCAACTCATGTAGATGTGCGGACAGAGTGTGTCAAGTATCCTAGTGCCCCCTGAATCTGCAGGAGGCTGGACGCTGAAGGCCTCGGTGCCAGAGATTTGGCTGCTTGGTTAACTTGCATGTTGTTCAAAGCAGCGTTAAATCTCCCCAGGGTTTTTCAAGCATTCGTTCTTGATCTGTCATCGTGTTCCGCACGGAGACAAGGACCTTGGTCCCATCTGACATGCAGGTTTGTCACATTCAGTGATACATCCATTCTCTCCTTTTTTGAGGTCGGTGGGACGGCTTTGACGAGAGATAGAGCTGCCACTGTGGCTTTTGTGAAAGCGATGGTCCCGCGGTTCCCTCTCATGCACAAGTCATTGGCTCGACGATACAGATGATGTTGGCATCATGCGCATGACTCGTGCACGAGTGTTGAGCCTAGCTTTAGGCTGCGATAGCAGCGTTCCTTCAGGAGTCCGTTTTTTGCAATTACAGTGGTTGGGAATATCAAGCTCAAGACAGGTACAGCTCGAGCTCGGGTATAGGTTGCTGGTACGACAGGGATGCATGGGACGAAGGGTCATGCTTCGCATGGACAAACCGACTCCGAGAGCTTGCAAGATACTCGAGAAGCCGCATGGCATGCTGCTCTGTGCATCTCTGGCTTTAAGCAATTCTAGGCCCATGGACTTTCCTTCCGCAAGGAGCTCAAGGTCATCAGTTGCGCAACAGATCTCAGAAGTGATAGTGCACAGGAGCTGGGATTGTTTAGGACTTTGTCTTCAAGTATGAAGAAGTCACAGCAAGCAGCAAAGTCACAACGCCCTACAACACATCCATTCAAAAAAAAGGCTGCGCGCGGAGACCGGCATCTCTGCTCGAACCAATACCTCGCATGTGCAAACCACGGTACTCGGGGTGAGACGAAGCTAGGGCACGAGTTGCACAAGACTTGACTATGACTATGACCATTATTTTGCCACTACGACTACTACTACTACTACTACTACTACGACGACTACGACTACGACTACGACGACGACGACTACTACGACGACGACTACTAATACAGATTTAATAAAATAAGACCATAGTGATAATCATAATAGTCATAGTTCGTCTTATTTTTGGACTATTATTAAATAAATATTATGAATTATGATTATCACTATTATCATCATTATCAGCAGTAATAGTAGTAGTCGTCGTCGTCGTCGTATCACAAGCTTCCTGCTTCATCGAGACTCTGTGTCGCTATGGATGGGCTTTCGCCTGCGAAGACCCGCCAGGACAAATATGATCGACACGGGTGGGTCTGCTCTTCGAGTAGGGTGAGTGAACGTTCTCTCCTATGTAGGCGGTTTCGACAGGCAGGTTAGCCATTAACTCATGGCGAAGTGCCTGAAGTGAATGGTATGAGTATTCAAACCCCAAGCCCTCAACCCCAGACCCTAAACCCTGAACTTTCGTAAAACAAGCGGTTCGGCGTGCATAGGTTGCAATCTCTGGCCGAAGGGGGAGCCGTTGCTGCAGCAGCCTCGACAGTCGTAGCACGAAGAGTAGCCAGTTTGCGAAGCGTTCGTGGTACTTCTGCTGCTCCTAGTCCAACTCCCATTCCGAATCCTAGTCTTGCTATAGCTGCTACTGCTACCGCTGCCGCCACTGCTACCGCTACCACACGACGACAACGACGACGACTGCTACTACCTACTGCTGCTGCTGCTTCTGCTGCTGCTGCTCCTCCTGCTGCTGCTCCTGCTGCTGCTGCTGCTGCTACTACTACTACTACTACTACTACTACTAGTAGGGCCACCACCACCACCACCACCACCAGTGGTACTGGTACCGGTATTCTTACTAGTACTAGCAGCAGCGGCAGCAGCAGCAGCGGGGAGGCTAGCTAAGTTGTGAGGTAGTCAGGCATGAAGTCAGTGAGCTGGCATCACGTCGGTGATGGCAGTACTCGTCGTCCTAGTCGCAGCAGTGATACATACCACCGCCACTATAGCAATAACGTTGACAGGAATGGCAACGCTGTACAATGGAAGCAGCCATGAACCCTTAAGCCCCAATCTTCAGTCCTGAACCTTGAACCGAACGATGTCAGGAGATCAGCATGCTCGTTGGTTTCCTTGCCTCGTACGTCCTTCGCGGAGCAACAAGCTTGGTGGAGGCTTGCTTTTGCTCGTCCCTTGAGCATCCGTGACAGGTGCCGCGATTACAGCAATAGTGATCGATAGTGGCCTTCGGTCGATAATTGAGTGCAGCACTCCAACTTCCAAGTAAATTGGACACTCGTGTCAGGGCTTTTTGCGCCGAGCTTGCCACGCATGTGTTTGCGGCCGCGGCGTCGCGGAGGCATGTTTGTTGGGCAGCTGGTGCCGAAATGCAGGAACCCATTCGATGCTTGACATGGCAAGGTTGACACACTAGTCTGCCACAAGAAAGCTCAGAGTTGCTTGAGTTGTTTGTACTGTCCTGCCATGTTTTCATCGAAGCCTTCGGCTCAGAGGCAGCACACCGAACCCAATCTTCAGGAAGACCAGGCACCCAACTCGCCATGATGCGCAGCATGCTCTACGTCCTTCCGGCATTGCTGGCAGTGGGTGTCTCGAACCCTGAGGCCGATCACGACAGCCACTGTGCTTTGCAGGTGGGTTCAGAGACGCAGGCCGGGATCGCCAGGCATCAGACGCACAAGGCCCATCAGAGCCACAAGGCTCACAAGGTCGCGCGAGAGGAGAGTGAGGAGAAGGAGGGATGGTCCAAGGAGGCCAAGGGAAAGGCCAAGGCATCCCAGAACCATGGCCCCGGCGCTTCCCTCACTTCCAAGAAGGGATCTGCAAAGAGCCTGGGGAAGTGGAAGCATGCGGGTGCCTCTGGGAAGTGGGCCTCTCAACAGGGCTCCCACTCCCATCTTCATGGCAAGAACGCCTCGGAAGACTTCGTGCCGGAGATGATCAACAAGTTCTTGGAGATGCCGCTTCCCAAGATGAACCCCCAGATCTCGGAGACACGACCCCTGGTGTTCATGCATCAGCATCGTGCAGGGGGCACCACCATGCGAAAGCTCTTGTACAACACCTCCATGAGTCAGAAGATGAAGCCTCATATCCTGTGCTCCGGAGGGGTCAGCTGCAGAGCCTTCAAGAACAATGTCACTGATGCCGCGGTCTACGGTGGTGAGTTCTGCTGGAGGGAGATGATGACTTCTCTGTCCGGCAAGGAAGCTTAGGGGTACTTGGAAGCATTTTTAATTTTTGGTTATTACAGCCCCTAGGCCCTAGGAGCTAGGAGCTAAGTTTCTACTTCTTCCTGCAAGGGTACCAAGTTCAGTAAAGGAAGTGTCATGCCTGACGAACTTCCGCGAGCCAGTGGCCCGTATTACCTCCTGTTATTCACAGCGGCTGGTCGCCAAGAGAAAGGTGGCCCCTTTCTGCATGGCGAAGTTGGATCCCAAGAAGCTCAAGACCCTTCTTGTGAACTACGGCTGCGTGAACGAGCCTTTCCGCCGGCTGGGTCAGTGCGGTGTGCAGACGCATGCGGATGCCACCGACAAGAAGGCGCGGATGCAGATTTGGAACAGCACACTGCGCAACCTTGCGGCTTGCGTGCCGGTCTTGGTCGACAAGCAGGACACCTACTCGGCCGCTGTGAAGCACTTCCCACAGTTCAAGCAGGCTTTCTGGCAGATGAAGAAGGAGAAGATGAACACGAACTCCTACCCCAAGGATTGCGAGATCCCAGCTACGCACATGGCCGTGATCCAAGAGTTGGCAGCGCAGGAGACGCTCCTCTACGAGGCTGCCAGGAAGAGGGCGCTGAAGCTGCATGAGCATGCTTAAGTGTGCCAGTTGTGCACTACACCATGAAAGTGTTCCTGCGATTTCCTGCGTTACACAGACATGCAACCAGTCAATCTATCTATATATATATATGTATATCCTTATTGGTACGCCACACTAGCACATTTAAACTAGACTCAGCAGCGTTTAAGGGGCTCTGCTTATGCTCCAGCATGGCCAAGCCATGATCCCATCGCAGATGCCCAGACTTGACGAGCCATTTTCCACTGTAGTTATCCGCTCCGTGTGATCTTTGCCCCCCGCTTGAAAGCAGGGGTCTACTCAGAGAGCCCAGTGCCTGAAATCGGAATCAATTTTCAAACCGCCTAAGTCGAGGGAGATTCCTTCTTTAATGGTTTTTTGGGCTCTCTGGGTTTACGCGCTTTCAAAGAGCACTGCGCGCACACGCTTGGGAGCTAGGACAGGAGTAAAACCGGAGTGCTTTGCCTCGCCGCCCATGGGTAGACCGGCTCTTGTGGCTTGGCATTTCAAGTTGTGTGGTGCTCTTAGCTTCCAGTGGTTTAGAGTCTGTAGGGTCTTGTGGTTAGGGGTTTGGCACAGTTTTAGGGGTTTAGGGGTTGGCGCGTTCCACCATTGTAGGCCTAGGCTGCAGCCGGATATGGTAGATCCCCGAAGCCCTGCAAGCCTACGACCCTCAACCCGCAGCACAAAGCACGCACATGTCAGCGGGTCTAACTAACAACCCAAGCCCTAAACCAGCTACGGGTAGCAGTGTAAAACCCTGTGAAACCTGAACCCCAAACCGTAAAGAAAATAACAACGCCCAGTCTCTAAACCTTAGACATGGCTTAGGGACTATATTAGGGACTATATTTGGGTTCAGGGATTAGGGTTTTATAAACAGCTTATAATTAAGCCTAAACCCAAAACCTTAAACCAGGATTTAGGGTTGTATAAACACCTTTGGCCGTTGAAGTAGCGATGAGCGTGGCGAGGCCGCCGTCTTAGCATCGGAGCGGGGGCTCTCGTGGCGTGAGGCCAGCGCTCTGAGTGATGATGTAGGGGTCGTTGTGTTATTTTAATTTTCGTACGCAGGATGCGATTGTTTAGGGTTCTTTGTGAGATCTTCTGAGGGGTGCTGGGTTTACGGTGTTTGAGCCGGTTCTGTCGAGTTTACTATTTACAGGTGTTCAGGCTGTTTAAGACTTAGCGTGATGTGGTTTAGATCTTAAGGGTTTTAGGGGATGAACGAGCTTTGGGCTTAGCGCCGCTAGGGCTTTAGGGTTTCAACTTTTTCTGCAGCAATGTAGGCTAAAGCGCTTTGTCGAAACATTCGGGTACACACTACGGACTTCTGACATCAGGTATATAAAGGGATTGGATAGTTTCTTCATGGTGAATATTTTGCTCTCTGCCAGCGAAATTGGCTTCACGGTGGATTCGACATGTCTGAATTCCGCCCGTACATGAGGCGAAAGTGAAAGATTTTGGTCATGACTCGATCCTGAATCACCACAAAACATGAGGGGAAACATCTTGGCCGCGGTGCACCTTTCCTTTTCTGCTGGGTCTCTCCTGGGCCCGTTTGGAGATCTACGCTGGCAGAATTACGGTTTGGAGTTTAGGGTCTGGCCCTAAAGAGTCGTATCCTCGCTGTTCCTGATCTGTATAAGAACCGAAAATGAGGTGCGTAAAAGAGGTCGGGCTAATTAAGAACAGCCTTCCCCACGGTTTCCATAGTCTTACAGTAGAAGCCCAAAAGTTGGAAACCCAATAGCCTCACAATCAATCCATAAGAATAATGTATAGGAAACCCCAGCACCATTTGTCCCTAATCCGGTTTCCACCTTTTGAGGGTTTACTGATTGAAATGCATCCGAAACACCCTGTTATAGTCATGAAGGCCCTTGTTTTTTTAATAACTTTTGACCCTTCCAAAAATTCACTTACACACCCTGTCAAACCGTTTCAAAATGATACAAACCCGTTACACGCCCTCTGAAGCCTCATGCGAACCCCGGCCTCCTAGGTTTCAGCTTTTCGTGTGCACGATCTAGTTTATAGGGTTTAGGGATGTCTAGGGTTTTATATATATATATATCTCTCTCTCTCTCTCTCCCTCTCTCTCTCTCCCTCTCTCTCTCTCTCTCTGTGTTTTGGGTTGTCGGATTGGGGTGTTTAGCTGGGCCTCCCGCGGCACATCATCTAATGTAGAGTCACCAAAACAACAGACTGTCAGATTGGGATCCTTCTCAGGAAGCCCTGAAGAAGGAGCCCCCTGAGGTTTCCAAGTCCCCAAGCCTTAAACCCTAGACCCAACCCGAAACCTAAGCCCTTAACCCTAAATCTAAACCTAAGCCCTTAACCCTAGACCCTAAACCTAAGCCCTAAACCTGAGCCCTCAACCCCAAAGAAAGACGGCCTCAGCACCTGAGCAGGCGAAAGCGCGACTCGACGCCACAGACGACTTCCAGCTGAACGTGCTCGCTGCCTTGAGGTCCCGTGATGCTCATATAACCCTAAGGGCCCATATGTGCTGATATCGTATACGCTTTGGCGTTGCAGTAGCCCCTATGCGTGTGTATAAATAAATAAATATAAATAAATAAATATGTATATATATATATGTACATATATTCTTAAGGCCGAAGTATATACTGTGCGGATACGAGGGTTTAATATCGGGGTCGGAAGAACTAGTTGCACTATTTTCAGGGCTTTCCAATAACATAGTTGTGCAGTCTAGAAACGTCCGAAACCCTACTGGTAGTGGAATTTTCTGACGTGTTGTATCAGTTGGCCGCCTCGACGTCGTCTTGTTCTACGACGGACATGCCGATGATTCAGAGCTTGCTGGAAGCCTTTCAAGTGGTTTGCACAGTCTCTCTCTGTCTGTCGGGGGTTTTCATTCAGGAGTGTTACTATTTGGGGTCGTCACTTCTGGAGTCCTTATAAAGCCTTACGAAAACCCAACAAAAGCAGATTCTTCTTGGCGCAGGCTCGTCTTCTGGCACTGGATGCAGCCTGCAGCTTATGTGCATGTCCCGGAAAGACGTGCAAATTGCCAAGGAGAGCACATCGTGTCAGCACTCGGAGGTTCCTGAACGGCCGCAAGCAGGGCTATGCCTACCTTCGCATTAACATAGTTGGGCAGCAAAGTAAGTAGTTCCAGCCATACGTATCTTACTGGTTACTTGTTGCTGTCTTACTTGTACTTGTGCCAGCTACTAGCTATGGGAGCTGCAGGCATGGGTCATGCACGGGCCTGAACGGTAATTACCAATACTCTGCCTTGGGGTGTCTCTGTTATTATAGCACGAAGATATACCCTAAAACTCGGTTCTTAATTTTTAAGGCCCCTACACTAGCCGGCCAGACCTGACGGCATGCGACGGACCGAAGTTGACGGACCGAAGTTTCCTCAATTCAGGATCATTACCGACAGTGTTCACTAATATAGGTACAGAGTATAGTGCAATATACATCAAAGATCTGTTCCAAGTCTTGCCTTGATGACCCTAGTGCAAAGCCCTGTAAACTCCCATAACTTATAGTGAAAGCCTTCAAGGAACCCTACTGTAATTTAGGCTCAAACCCTATAATTCCATAGAATCTAGAGACACTGCATGACACCTACAGATAACTCTGAAACTGCATGTTAAGCAGGTGATCGCAAGGACATTGCTGAACTGCTGGGAAACCCTAAACCCTAAACCCTGAGGTCCTCCTGCTGTATGGTTGGAGCGACGATCCATATTTCCGCTCCCGCTCCGACTTTCAGGTCCACCGCCCCTTCTGGTAGGGTTTAGGGGTTTAGGGTTTAGGGGTTTAGGGTTTAAGGGTTTAGGGATGTAGAATTTATAGGGCCCTTAAAAAGTAGAACAGGGCTTGGGGGGGGCATGTTATGCTATAACTATGATAAGGAACCCCCCAAAACCCTATTCTAATTATTCAGGCCCCTACATTAGGGTTTCCGGGTGGGAATACCCTAAACCCTAAACCCTGCATTAGGGTTATCGGTGGGGATTACCCGGCTTGGTGGTTTTGGTGTCGTGGGGTTGTTGGGCCCAGGAGCTCGAAGTTTTTTGGGGACTCCAGCGACCGCATGAGCCAGCGAGAAGCGCCCTCAGAAGTACGGGTAATATGAGGGCCTTAATTATAATTAGTTTTGTTTGTTATTATTATTATTATTAATTTTTATTTTTTGTTATAGTTTATTCTTGTTTCTTTTTTTGGGGGGGGGGCTCCGTACTACAATTATAGTGCAATATAGCCCCCAACCCTATTGCCTTAATAATTAATTAGAAGTGTTTTGGGAGGTTCGTTATTACAATTATAGCATAGCATACCCCAAAACCCTATTCTAAGTATTAAGGCCCCTATGTTACTATAGCGGGTTCCCTCATTACAGCCAAATAGTAGCAATAAGGTTCCCCTTGTTATTAAGGGGCTCCTGGGGATCCTTGAGAGAAGCCTAAATAACTACCAATAGTGTTCCTGAGGGTTCCTTCTTATTCTTATACCAAAGCCCTGATCTACAGTTCTACTTATTAAGGCCTTACATGAGAGAACAGGGAACTACAGACTGCAGTTATAAAGCCTTATCTTACTGGAGCTTTTGGAAGAGGGGAGGACGGAATATCAGGACGACTATAAGTTACTATGAGGGACTGACCCTGAACCCTAAACCCTACTATAGGGATCCGCTCCTCCCAATCCTCCTTAAGTCACCAGTAAGTTACCAGAGTACCACCTTCAAGAGCAGCAGCACAGCCGGGTCCGAGGTGGTGATGGCCATTGCGGTGCTAGTGAGGGAGGCCAGCGCCAATCTCCGGGAAAGCCACAGGATTAGTAAGAAGAGAAAGTACAATACTTTGTAAAATTTGTAGTAGCCAGAAAATTATCGTCTCACTAGCGCATTATGAAGGGCTTAGAATCCCCACGCAGAACAATGATGACATAGCATGCACTGAAGACACGGTAAGCCAAGATGGTATGAGATCACGCGAGAAACATGCTTGTACCGTTGGAGGCGTACAGAGCAGGATGGCTTGCCCCAAAGGGTCGAAAGCAGTTTGAAAGATGAGACCCTTCGTATGGGGGCTTAGGGTCTAGGGTTTTGAGTTTTTTTTTGGTTTAGGGTTTAGGGTAAGACCCTGAACGCCAAAGTCTATACTATACATACAGGGCTTTTTGTTCACAAAGACCCTCTATGCATGGACCCTTCGGGTTGAAGAGGTGCTCTACTTCGGCTGCACTGTGCTGGCCTTGGTGCGATGTGGTGCTCTCAGACCCAAGAAGGACACATCTGGAGTTTCTTGAAGGTAGGGGTGCCTTACTTACGGGTGTGCTTCAAAGGGAGCCTACTGTTGAGGGTCGCCATCATGGGGTCTCTTATTCCTGGAAAGTAAAACCTAAACTCTGCACCTCCCAAATGAACAGAGCCTGCTTCTGCCATGCTGCTGCATGATCCGCGGTGATCGCTCAGGCTGCTGGTCTGTGGGCCTAAACCCTTTCATCCAAAATCCTAAACCTGAACCCGAAGGTCTTACACCCCGAAGCTCTTTAATCCAAATCCTAAACCGTAACCCTAAAGAAATAAACCCTAAAGCCCTAAACCCGAACCCTTAAAGCCCTAGACCCGAACCCTAAAGCCCTAAACCCCACATCACATAAGGTCCGGCCTTTCTTCTTGTGGATGTCATCGCCACGTGGCGTAGCGGAGCTCGCGGAGAGGCAAATCGATTTGTGGGGGATCAGAAACCACGAAGATCTGTTAGGGTTTAGGGTTTGGGGTTTAGGGTTCAGGGCTTATGATTAGGGTTTATAGAGATTGATGAGATAGTACAGGGTTTGGGAGAGGTGTAGACGATAGCAAAGGGTTCTATAGATATTTATAAGATGTTGCAGGGTTCTATAGAGTGTGACAGGGGTTTACTAACGGTTTCTACAGGGTTCGACGATTCTAAAAGGTGTTGATAGGGCTTCGGAGAGTTCTCTCGGGTTTTTGTAGGATGCTTCGGGAGGCTCCTCTGGGTCAACAGGGTTATCTAAAATTTGGTTTTGCAACTTTCTTCGTATCGGATTTTACAAAGTTGTACACAGCTTTTTGTAGGGTCAGGGTCTATATAGAGTTACATACGGATCTATGCGGCTTTATAGGGTGGTATGTAGGGCTTTCTAGTCCGGGCGTTTTACCGATAAGAATAGGAGTTGGATGCATGTCTGCTGTAATCTTAATGGGGAACTCGAATAGGCAGTACCAGTAGTCATGTAGGTTCGTTTGCTGAGCATGAACCAATGGCATGAAGAACCCCTTTTCAAAAACGTTTCCTGCTGCCCTCAGATAGTGCTTAAAAGAGTTCTGTTGGAACTTCGTAAAGGTGCTATCGGAATGTTGACGCGCTTTAGAGGGTGCTGTATGGGGTGGCGACATGTTGCAGGCACCTAGGATCGGCAGGATTGGACGTACAGCTTCTGCTGCAAAATATATGCTTCAAGAGGGGGGGGTTGTCCCTTTGGAAGATGCTTGTCATACCGATCCTGCTATTTTGCATTCCATGTGCCCCATTGTTTTCTCACAACCCCCGTATGGGATATTTCAGCAGTCGCACCAGACCTCTGGCGAGAAGCGAGCCATCATTCAAGCAATAAAGGTCCGAAGTTGCACCGGAGTCCGAGACGACAGCTGCGAGAGATTGAAGATGAGAGCTGTTGGATTCTTGCAGTGATGCCCAAGCGATCACAGCGCCCAGCTGCAACATGGCATTGACACATGCGCGAATCAAAGAACCGAGCTTGTGGAATGTTACAGAAAGTGAGGTACAGGACGGGGCCAGGTATCTGAATCGACGTCTTCATGCAGAGCTGCTAGTGACTGCTAGTGAGTCTAGTGAGCTCTCCGGGGTGTTGTCTCGTGTGCACAACAAGCACCTTCAGATGGAACGCATCATTGAAGGCCAACTTGAACGCCATTCATCAGTCGATCTTTGCGGCCTGTGCACGGCGACCTGTTGAGGCAAACCGGTTTGCCGACCGGATTGCGAGCATACGATTGCTGTGCGATGTCGATGAACCCCTTCTTCATTGCATGCGTCATCAATACTCCTAGGCAAATTTTCCTATTCGGGAGAATCGACTTCGACCTGCGTGAAATGGCAGTTTTGGTGCACGAGACAAAACAATGGACATCACGCAGGTTCACAGAAAAAGCTGGAAAGTATGAAGGCTCTTGTTGTCCAACTGAACCATGGGTTGAGTCTTCGCCTGTGAATGTTAATGAAGGCTTGCGCGCCTTTGCTGTGTGTCCTAGACTTAGACTTTGAGAACCCTTGGCCTTGCAGGGACAGGCCGTGATCAGATTACTCGTAACTTTGATGGGTCCCACACCACGAGGGGCAAGCCATCAAAGTGACACTGCACGGCGCTTCGTGTTCGCTGTTCGCTTGAGACTGTTGAAGTTTGCTTGCCCCTGCAGCATTTGCTGAAGTTTACATGTAGAATCCCTTGTGCCGTTGCGACTGTGGGTTATGCTGTCTGTCGAGACGATGCCTACCGTGTTATTTACCCTGGCTGTGCTTCCTTCGTTGCTGTTGGTAGAAGCAGCATCTACATCGGGATTCGTGCTGTCTGCTGTGGGCCATGCAGCTTACTTGATGCGACATCGATTGTCGTCAACAGCCACACAGCCAGCATATCTGCGATGCCGTCTCGGAACCCTTGTTTGGCGCTCTCATGCGCTCTGTATACACAGATCCAGACGCACTTGTGTTGACGCATTGTGCTGTGACGCCACTGGTGTGAGTCTCGCGTGTGCTTGCGAAATTGAGCATCTACATGGGAAAAGTTCGCTTTTGCTGTGTTTCGCTGACACTATGTTGTCTTGTGTGTGTGTGTGCGCGATTTTTTCGAGCATCTACATGGGGGAAAGGCTGGTTTTGATGTGCTTTGATGCCGCTGATGTGCTTTGATGCCACTCATGCGCGTCTCGCATATGCGCTTGTGAAGTCGAAGGTCTGTCTACGTGGGGAATGGCAGGTTTTGATTTATTGTGATTGAGCATATGTTGGGGAAATCGAGGATCTACATGGGAATGTCTGCCTATGATGCGATGCGATGCCACAGATTTGTGTTTGGAGTGCGTGCTTGCGAAATCGAGCGTCTACATGGGGAACCACGTCTGCATGGCGAAACCCGTGATAATGTGACCAAGACATAACCACATCTCAGTGCGTGAGGTATGTGTTGTTGCAAAGCGCAACGTGACATAAGCCCCCGCTGTGCAGCTGTACCGGCTGCGCAGTGTAACCCTGAAATGCTCCATTGCCAGGCTCCTGAATGCTTGCTTTTTCGTGCCATAGGATTTCAACTCGCTTTGTGTTGATAGTTTTGCTCCAAAGACAACCTGATCAATGCGCCGCTTCTTTGGCTCGAGGTCTTTCGGCACCAGGCTCACGTGTTTGCCTTCGCCTTTTTCGCAACGCCCCAAGAGCACTGTCATGGCGGAGGCCGAGGCTGTGTACCGCTACGAGTCCGGAAACATCGCGCATGCTCCCAAGAAGGATTACGGTCCGTTAGACTTCACTGGAAAACTTGCGGGGGGCCTGCGACTTGACATTCGCAGGCGCGCGCCGTTGTACTGCAGTGATTGGACGGATGCCTTCACACCGGAGAACTTCCAAAAGTCGGTATCGTCCATCTTGTATCTGTTCTTTCGTCCTGCAATATGCAGACTTTTGAAGGTTCTTGAATTCCTCTAAACTTCGGCTTTTCTGGAAGTGTAGTGTTTCTCCTTTGCCAGTTGTGGCAGCAAGGTTCATCGCAGCCCTTGCCCCTGCGATTACGTTCGGCAGTCGGTTCCTTGACGGCACGAACGGCCAGTTCGGAGTGATGGAAATGATCATGAGCACATGTATCAGCGGTTTGATCTTCTCGACTTTCTCCGGTCAGCCCCTTTCGATTTTGGGAGCTACCGGTCCGTTCTTGGCCTACACGCTTGTCGTCTATGATCTGGCAGTTGCCGTGGACGTGGAGTTCATGCCGTTTTATTTTTGGACATGCATGTGGTGCTCCCTCTTCACCGTCCTGGTGGCGGTCTTCGATCTGTGTGCACTCATGAAGCACGTGACTATGTTCAGCGAAGACATCTTCGCTGGATTCTAGACTGTGCAGACGGAGAGAGAGGGATGTACATATGCATAGTACATATGCATATATGCATATCTTTATATAAATTATATCCATATACATATACATGTAAAGTACCTATGTATTTTGGATTCCGATGTCAACATAACTAACTAGCGCAAACAAAGCCATTGGGGTTACTGAACAGCCTAGGATTAATCTCGCTCATTTTCATCATCGATGGAGCCCGGCCGATCATCGAGAATTTCACGGAGAGCAGGCTGACGCTCACGAACAGCATGTTTGAAGCTCTCTTGTTCATCTGGACATTTGGCTTAGCGACATACTTGTCCAGCTTCCGCCGAAGCCCTTGGACTTTCCGTTTCGTTCGAAACTTTGCAGCCAATTTCGCAGTGACCATTGCCTTGGTGAGTGGCTCCGCGTTGGCCGCCATTTACTCCAACGACACAGGCTTGAGGATGTTGCAGGTGGACGCGGACTTCTCGCCAAACTTGAGCTTGTCCGATGGCAGCAAGCGACCGTGGATCATCAATCCCGCCGGCATGGACCGCCCCTTCCCAGCCTGGGGCATTGCTTATGCGATCCTCCCGGCGACTTGCTAGGAAGACATGCTTCTGGTCTCCTGTAGGTTGATGTGATTTGGCTGTAGGGGAACATCTTCGTAATGAGTATCGCCTCAAGCACAACCGAGGCGATTGGCTTCGCAGTCTTGGGTTACCTGGATCAAAATCTCACCTCTGTGATCGTGAACAGACCCTCCAACAATCTGAAGAAGCCGGCTGCCTATCACCTGGATTTGCGCTCTGATGTCAGTTAGGATTCCTTTTGTTTTTTTTGCAATGGTGTTTCCTAGTATTTTAGCAAAGGGAGTCCATAAACAATTCTAGCTCTTCTTTCCTTCTTAAGACGGGCTCAGGTTTGTTCGGGGAGCACTGACGCTGCCCGTCTGCGCTGTGCTGGG